TTTCCAGGTCACATGTCTTCTTCAGGAACCCCAGAGGGAGGCAGGTGAAGGGCCAGGCCTGCACCCTCCCCGTCAGGACTCTGCTGCGTCTCTCGGTGAAGGCCTCTATGAACAGTGGTGGGAAGACCAACCCGTGCTGCTCCTCCAGAGCAGATATGGCCAAGGTTTCATTTCTCACCAGGCTCTGCACAGCCAGGCCCTTGAGTCTTGGTGCACCCTGGTGGCTCATCTTGGTTAATCAGGTGTGGACTCAGGTTGCAGGGTGCTGGGACCTCAAGCAGAAACTGATTAGGACCTATTTTTAATGCAATATCCTATCCTAATGCTGTGTGTACAGCACAGTATTCTGTAGTGTGAACAAACCATGATTTAATCTTACTGATAGACATTTAGCTATTTGTCTAGCTTGCAATTAAAAATAACACAATGAAGAAACGTACAGCCTTGTTTCTGTGTCCGTTTCTATAGAGTAGGCTATTAGAAGAGTGAAACCCCATTTCTGATACTGATGCTAAATTACCCGTTCAAGACAAGGGGTGACAAATCCAGCCTAGGATTGGCCTTTCAGATTTTCTCACATCCCTGTTTAGGCTTCAGGTTGTAAAGTCATTAAAGAGAGATGTGGCTGTGAATGTGCTACCTGGACCTCTCTTCAAGAAAACTTTCTGTTCAGCTGTGAGTACAGGCAGCAGATAGCCTCCAGCTGTCCACCCTTCTGGATCCACTTCAGCTTTCAAGCCAAGGTCATGGTTTTCATGGGCAGTTTCTAGCCAATAAGCATGGCAGATGGAATTAGGGCCTATTACTACCCAGATGCATGACTCTGCTGACTGTAATCTTTAATCTGGCCGAGACTTTCTCAGTTCTACCTCCAAGCTGGAAGCTGTCTCTGCCCCATCCTGCTCTGGCCTGCAGAGCTGCAGAGCCACCTGAAGACTTTCCTTACTGGAATAGGCAGCATAATCCCCACCCCATGTCTGTAGCCTAATCCCATGAACCTGTGAATGTTATGTTGCCTAATGTGACAAAAGGGACTTAAGATGTGATTATGGTGAGGATCTGAAGATGGGGAAATTATTCTACATTATCTGAGTGGACCTATGTTATTACAAAGGTCTTTGTAAGGGAGAGAGGAAGGCAGGAGAATTGATCAGAATAAGCAGCAGAGGTCAGTGGTATGAGGTCACAAACCACGGAATGTGGGCCGCTCCTAGGAACTGGAGAAACTCCCCCTAGGACTTCTGCAAGGAGTGCAGCCTGTAAAGACCTTGATTTTAGGCTAGGGAAACACACTCTTTACTTCTGACCTCCAGAACTGTAAATTCATAAATTGGCATTTTAAGCCATTAACTTGGCAGTGACTCGTTACAGCACTAATGGAAATTAATGCACCTGCCCAACTTGTGTCCACCCTTTGCCATTTGCAGGCATCACTCCCAAGAAACCTCACTCCAAACTCCATCTCAGCTTCTGCTTCTGGGAGGGCCTGGGAAGCTCAAAAGATCTTCACGTGACCCACTTTTGATCAATACCTGCAGCAAAATTCCCACAATGTTGACGATAATTATGAAGAAGGGGTTTAAAAACATCATGATGGGAAAGGAAACTCTCAGGAGGAGGACATGGAACAATGACAGATGACAACCAGCTCCTCAGATACCTTGGTTTTCAGATCAACTTGTGTAGCAGCTGGACCAGGAATTCAGCTGGGAGGGCAGGGTCTGCTCATCAGTGGCCTCTGGCTGCTGGTTGGGACTGAATGTGTCATCCCTCTGTGTTGGTAATTGCCAGCCACCTGTGTCAGTGCACGGCAGGGAGTCTCTAGGTTACAAATGAGAGGTTCTGTAGGTGTGTTGGCAAGTTGAATTTGGGTGTAAGATGGAACAGGTACATTTACCTATTATCTGTAGCTAATAGACCTGTACCTGTTACCTGTAGCTAATACACATAGCTTCTGTTCGTGTGAGTTGTATGTAAGTCAGATGCTTGTAACTTGGGGATTACTTGTAGTTCATTGAATTAAAGGGCACAGATCAGGGAATTCTGTCTCCTAGGGGAGTTATATAAATAGATGACGTAATGTGTACTGTGTACCACGTACAAAGACTTGACAGTCTTCATGACAACCCAGTGACGTGGGTGTCATCCCTTAATCAGTCCCCCTTTGGGAAACATCTAAATGCCACTCTGGCCCCTTTGGAGGCACAGGTTAAGTAATGGACTAGACTCTTTGTCAATAGCTAATGAAGTGTCATGAGAAAGGGAGAAAAGGGGTATTGAAACAATGGTGTAGTTCCACTGAAAGGCAGGGTCGCCAGATAACCCGGAGAACGCCCCTTATATGAAAAAGTTTTTCATTATTAACCTGAAATTCAAATATAAGTACAGGTACTAAATATGCTGGAAATTTTGTTCTGAAATCCAAATTAACTGGGTCAAGTCTTTTTTGTTAAAGCTGGCCATCTTATTGGAAGGATCTTCTTGGCCCAAGGGATATGAGGGCTCTATTTTTGCTAATTCCTGTAGAGCAGGCAGCTGATCTAATTGTCCAAAGTCTTGTAAATTCAAGTCCTGGCCTCACTGAAGTAAGGATTCCCAGAGACCTGGTTGAGCGCCATTTCGGGGTCTATGTGTGAGGGTGTTTCTAGAGGACCCTGGAGTGAGTGAGGAGGATCTGCCCTCACTATGGGTGGGCACCATCCCCTGGGGTGGGACTTGGCTGCAGCAAAAGGGCAGAGGAGAGGCAACTTCATTTTCTTCTGGAGCTGGGACCCCCTTCCCCTGCATCTCAGCTCCAGGCTCTCCAGACTTTGGACTCCAGGGTTTGTACCAGTGGCTCCCTGGTTCTCAGGGCTCTGACCCCTCAGACCAAAAGCCCCAGGACCAGGGAAGCTGATGGTATGACCATCAAACTTGGATGAGCAGTGCTACTGGCACCTGGGGTCCTCACCTTGCAGACAGCCTGTGTGAGACTTCAGCTTCCATAAACAGACACGTCGACACTCCACATGTCCTGTGGGCTTATTCCTTGCAGTTTATGTTAATGTGAGAGTAATACTAATAAGTATTACATTTATCAGTTCTAATTTTTAATATTGCACATCAATAGATATGAACTACACAAATAAAAGCTAGTGGGGTTTTTAGTTTTAATAGCATAAAGGTGTGAACTGTGATATCACTTGTTTTGACCATGCTGAGGATTTATCGTGACGTTGAAGCATCTATCACAATTGTTTTTCTTATAACATCTCCTCTTCCCCACTGCACTCCACTTATATTACAAACTTTGGGTTTGGTGACTGTTCCTCTAACCATTTTTTTGCACAAATATGTACACATTTATATATAAACACATCTTCCTATTATGTTCGATAGGATCATAATTGACCACACGCATGTTCAACATGTTTTTCCAGAGACTGGGTCATGCACAGACTCACAAATGAGTATCCATAGTTCAGCATCTTTTAAGTGCTGTGTGAAACTGGATGGCGTGGACGTCACGTAACTCTTACTAACCTTTCTCATGTAATCATTCCACTTGTGCCCAGCTTTTCTCTCTCACAACCGTTCCAGTGAGCAGGCTCGTGCATACATCCTTATACAGCTTTCTAAGTATTTCCATAAACAATTCCTAGCAGTGAAATACAGACCTTTTAATTCAAGGAACTGAGATCCAGAGGGGAAGAAACTTATTTAAGACCAGATTTAAACTGTAACTCTTGCCAGCGATCATTAAATTTCCATGACACCCTGTCAGCTGCTGTTCAGCTCATGCAGTTAAGAGGGAGGATCCTCCCCAGTGTGATTGATGGGTGTCTTCAATAATGTTCGGAAGCCTGGGCAGTAGCTGGCATGCATGCGTTTCCATTCTGTCATTCTTTCTAAATATGGTTCTTAAATGTCAGGGACATTTTTCTTGGCAGAATGAACATAACTTTTTTCCCTTTTGTGGAACAGAGAATCCCACTCCTGGAATTGCAGATTTTTTCCCCTCCTCCCCCAAGGTTGCCTACAGTTGTAACTTAAGTCCTCTAGCCTAACAGCCTATGACAGAGGGACAGAAAGGAACTCTGGGGGGTGGAAGAAACAAGGATGCCAAGGCCCCGTACCAGGGCTAAGAAGCTAACAGGGCTGCGAGGGGAGAGGAGGGCAGGATGGACTTGGAGACTCATGTGGTGATGCTTGAGTTGAGACGTGAAGGATGAACAGACATTTATCTTAGGAGGGCGTTCACGTCACAGGGGACAGCACAGCAAGTGCTCAGTGTTTTGAAAAGAATTGGTATGATCAGGCAAATGTTGTCTTTCTGTCCTGGCAGCAGCTGCAGTGGGAGGTAAGAAGGACATCACACAAGGCCTTGTCCCCACTATAAACTTGGCCTCTCTGCCTCCAATCCTGTCTCGAGTTACTGTAATAGCCTAGATGAGAGAGGAGGGCCTAAATTATGAAATGAGACATGATAGATTTGAGAAACTTAAAGACTGAATGGAGGCCAGCTGAAACGGATCCAGGGTCCTAGTGCTGCTGAGCCTCAAACTCACTGGGAGAAAGCTGGCGGCCAAGAGATGGGAGAGTTGGCAGTTATCCAGTTTCTTGTCTGATTCAAGATTTCCTGAGTTGAGATCCAAACGTAAGTCACTCTTTCAGGGGCAACAGGAGGCTTTTAGGCACACTGTTAATACTTGTGATTCTGAATGTCTTTATAGGATAGTGTGAGAGCAGTCCAACCTCACAAACCACAAGTCTAAGAATGGAATTCAAGGCTCAAATCCAGGTCACTCCTAATGTAGACACCCGATAAAACTAGTCTCATACAATTCATGTCCAATCTAAAGGCACAGACTAAGTAATAGTCTCTAATTTGATTATACTAATATCTCCACAATTAAGATGCCCTTATTCTCTTTCCCTGTAACTTCTCCACCAATGTGGCAGTTTGCACTGTTCATACAGGCAGATCCCTGGCTAATCAATTTCAAAGAGTTTCCATATGAGTGAAATTCAACTTCAAAAAAAGCCCCCTGGCCATTAATGATAAATGAAAATGTGTTCAGCAGCTCGTGGAGTTCTCTGAGCAAGAGAATCAGGCTCCGACAGTGTATGCAGGAGCATAGCTGACCACACAGGGCCACCTGAAGGCCTCGGTGCCACACTGCCCGCCATGGCAAGGGGGGCAACACTGCCATCCGTGCATCTGGAGCAAGAACACCAAGGAAGGGGGCC